TTTTTGGGGGGGGGGGGGGGGGAGGGGTGCATCGGTGTCCTGGTGCTATCGTTGTGGTCGCTGAAGGGTTGATTGATCGTCGGTGGCCAGCGTCCCACTCGACGTGTGAACAGAAAGGGACTTACTGCTGTGCTGCCTTTTCCGTGCATGGTATAGTACTCCAGGCAGGGCATCGAAGACTCGCGCGCGGGATGATGATGGCATGTCTTTCTATCTCCACCACCACTCGCCTGCCGCCGCCCGCCCGCCCTCTTGGTTGACCCCATCTCACCGATTAATAATGTTATGTGTACAGTGCACGGCGGCGCTGGCGTCCTTGGAACGGGTCCTGAGGCAGCAGCGCGACGTGTTCGTGGCCTTCATGGACCCAGTTACGGACGAGATCGCACCCAACTACAGCATGGTGAGACGCCGAGCCCTAGAGGGGAGCATGTCTGAGAGGCGGGCAAGGGTGTGGGGCAGCGTTGTTCGCGGGTGCTGAGTTTGCAATCTGGGGGTGGTCTGAGGGGCCCCAGGGTGTGGGGGGCGCGCACGCCTTGTTGGCTGGTGCTGAGCTGCGATCGATCTGGGCTCGCACGATCTCGATCTTCTTGTGAGGGAGAGAATGCGGAACCGGGTCAATGCGTGATGATACCGAGAGTCCCGGTGGCTGGGGTTGTTGGCGGCGGGATTGGTGCCGTTTCGAACTTTGGGGACGCGCCACCCTGGCCCTTTGGCGGTGTTTCGTGCATGCGGTACATAGTGGTGGGACCAGGCAGATGTCTGGGTTGTTGTTTCTGTTCCACCAACACAATCTACTGGACCGAGGGGTTGTGTGCGGTTGTTATTGATCTTTGTTCTGCTCTCTCACCCCCCAATATCCCCGTCGCCGTGCCATCGCTGCGGTCACTTCCTCAGGAGATTGCGCTGCCGATCCACCTGGGTTTGATTCAGCAACGGCTGCAGCGAAAGTACTACCGGAGAGCAGAGGGCGTGTTCGCCGACCTCCGACTGCTGGAGACCAACTGCAGGACTTACAATCCGGCTGGCAGGTGCGAGCACGCAACGTGCACAACAATATGGCGATGATTTGCGTGACGGTATTCAGTAGCGACAGCAACAGCAGGGACACGCTCAATGGCGCTGAATTGCGTCTTGGCGGTACGAGTTAGCAACAGTAGGAATATACGGGACGTACTGGGATTTTTGTTCTTCTTATGTTGCCGGCCTGCAAGAAAATATCCATTCAACCGGCACACGTACTCTTTCTTGCACACCCGTCGATGATGGTTCATCTTGCTGCTTAATATTGCCAAGAGGGAACCTGTCGTCAACACGATGGGTGGTCGTTCGGGCGCGTACAACGGTTTTATTTTTTCCTCCCTTCCCCAGCCCCTCCCGGTGTTTGCCATCGGGGTTGGGTTTTCGTCGCTTGGCAACGACGTTGTAAAACAAGCCGCCCCCCCCGGTGTTTGCCATCGGGATTGGGTTTTCGTCGCTTGGCAACGACGTTATTGTAAAACAAGCCAATTCACTTCGTGAACTCGGCAACCAGGTTACCGGTTTTTTTTTTACCTCCTTTTTTTTTTTTT